TTTGGCAAGTTAATTTATGGTTAAAATAGTCACAAAAGATAAAATAGATTATTTTAATCACAACAAATAAAATATCACATCTAACCTATAATCATTACTCTTCTCTCAAAAAAAAATTTAAAAAACTAAAAAGCCCTTCCCAAACCAAACTTTTTAACCCAGGCTAAAATAGCCAAAAAAGCCAAAAAGCCAAAAAGCCAACCCACTTCCCAAACGGAGGCATGTAATTTGCTAACCTACTTTTTCTACTTGCCAAATGAGCCGAAAAACGCAACTGTGCGTTTTGCTCCAAAACACCAACCTAGCGTTTTCAGCCTTTCCCAAAAGAGACCATAATATTACATTCAATTCATAATTATTATTTTTTTTTTCTTATTTAAAATTCTCGAAATCTGTGTTAGATGGTTTGGTGCAGCTTCTATTTATAATTTATTAGGCAGAAATATGTTAGATAAAATGAAAAAAATCAATTATCTAAAGGCTGAAGGATTGGTATTTTTGACTATTACTTTCTAAACAAACGCAATAAAACACATGATTCTTTATAATAATTCTACACAAACTTTGTGTTTATATATCGCTAATTTATTTATTTATTAAATCAGATGGGCCAATTGGGCCTTCCATTTGGGCTTTGATGTGCGAGCAGGCCCAATCATATCTCTAGCCTCAATCTATGACCTGGAAAAAAAAACATTTCGTCGAGTAATGTACAGAGGATACATATCAGAAATGTTTGTGCCATATATGGAACCAACAGAGGAATGGTACTACAAAACATTTTTCGATGTAGGCGAATTTGGGTTCGGCCTGTCGGCAGTGTCGCTCGAGCCCATGAAAGATTGCCCGGCCCATGCAGTGTTCATGGATGGATACTATGCCGGGCAAGATGGCAAACCTGTAAAAATTTCAAATGTATTTTGCATTTTTGAGCAGAATGCCGGAAATGTCTTGTGGCGCCATACTGAGACCGGCATTCTTGGAGAAGTTGTAAGTGATTTTCTAACATGTTTTAAGTTCTGATTTTTTATTTTTATTTAATTTTATCATCAATTTACTATTTTTTCCGTCTCAAAATATTAGTCTCTTATTTCATTTTTTATTATTTCAAAATATTAGTCTTTTTTTAACAATTAAGGACCAAATATGAATTTTCTATTTTGCTATTATCTTAAATTCATTAACTATGACTGTACGGGAAAGAAATACACATTCTCGTATAATCCTGTTGACCAAGTCTGCTCCTCCGTACGTCGTCGCTTTTCCACCTGAAAACACAAACGTGAGCTAGCCGGCGTGTGTGTGCCGGAAACCTCTACGATGCCTAAGTCAGCAAACTTGACAAATAGAGAAAGCTCTATGTATTCAGAAAGCAAAGTTGTGTGTTACCTCCTCCAAGGTGATGTTTGTGAGCTTTTGTAAGTTTCGTGTGGCACAATCCTAGTAGGACTTCTACTCCTCCATGCAGAGTCCTCCTAGGATTCATACTCCTGAAAGATAATGTTTATCCTTCAACACCCCCCTCACTGCTTAAACCAAGTAAGATGGTTTTTACCATGGCCGAACTACCACATGACCGAAATAATACTGGCTATGCTGAGCCAGAGTAGGCCGAACTATCCTTAGTTCGGTTCTTCCTTGTATTGCTCCTTATCTCGGTTCTCCCATGTCCAAATCATGGTGTGTTTAGACCGAGCGACCGAGTAGCAAGGTTCTGACCGATCTATCCACAATACGTCATGACCGGACTAACCCCCTGCGACCGGCCTAACTCCAAGTCGCTTCCGGACCGGAGTAACATTATATCGGTTTCGGGCCGGAGTAACTTTATCTCTCTTGGGCCGGAGTAACTTTTGGCCCTTTTTACCCAGTCCTTCGTACTTTAGGCCATAAAGCCCATCTCATAGCTCGGCCCAATTTTCACCAAAATTACTCTCTCAATTGCCCCTTAATTCCATCTGCACAGCATGATTGGGATAACCTGTCTACCAGTCCAGCTGAAGTTTTTAAGCCTTTCCAGCCGAGCTAAAAAAACCCTTTAGCCTCTCCAGCCGAGCTAAAAACTCTTTAGCCTTCCGGCCAAGCTTATTTCTCTCCGGGCTCTACTTGTCCGGTCAAAACGTCTCTTCAATCACAGCGACTGTAACGCTTCCCTTTCCAATGACACGTGGCAGGCTCTGATAGGCTGGGGGCAACTGTCACGCCGCCCTCGTACTACGAAAAATTTGAACAGTTCCCGCTTTTTCTCTTTCGTCCCTTCTTTTACACAAAACACCTTCTATATTTTGGATTAACCACTCTACTATTACATCTCTTCTCTCTTCACCCTGTGTTCTTGCTGTTCTTCCGTTGTACTTGAAGAGACTGTGACTTTGCTGCCATTTTTCCATCTTCAGTGTTTCTATGTCTTCGTTTGGTAAGCAACTGGAATCTATCTATCTTTCTTTGCTTTTATTTACTTCCATGTAGTTTGTTTCGTGTGTTTTTGCAAAACATATTCTTTCCATTTGTTTTGCCCTGTACTTTACTGGAAAGAACTTTAACAGTAGAACGTATGAGTATATGATACATCCTGTAGAAAACTAGCTTTCGATCTAGAATCTTGTCCCAACCGAACTAGGAGACTGTTTGTGCTATATATGTAGATCAATTCAGACAATAACCGAACTAGAACTCGTAGAAATAACAGTAGTTTCAACAAGTTACCAACTCCCGATTCACTTCAGCCGAGATAAGCTCACCGAACGAAATTTGAACTTATTAAACTAGGAACCTCGGCCTTCAACTGAGCTAAGCCTTTGGGGCTAAGCCAGCTTTCTTAGTTTCTGAACCAAACGCAGAAAGCTGCCCCTAGAGGCCCAACCCATGTAACAAAACTCATAGTTCAACCGATTTAGGCCTTTGGGGCTAAACCAGCTTTCTTAGTTTTTTAGACCGAACTCAGAAAGCTGCCCCTATAGTTTCTAAACCAAACTCAGAAAGCTGCCCCTAGAGGCTCAACCGAAGTAACAAAACTCATAGTTCAAACCGAGATACCCTATGCTCAATCCGAGCTACCAAGCATTTTGCTGAACCGAGATAGAACCTGTCCACAAAGCCGAAGTAGGGCTCTTTACCTTGCTTTTAATTTGTAGCACGGTCCAATGATCTGTGCTTACCCCTCTGTTTTCTACCTTGCAGACTTAGGTTGTCCAGGCACTCCTCCGCGCGCTCAACCGAGCTACTGAGCACCAATTTCGCACCGAACTAATTTATTTGTAATTTATACAATAAATGGGAAAGTATAGGTATCTAGTAGACACTCCGGGCGGCCTAGCCAAATTCAGAAAAGACTACAATATACTTGATGACGTCCAACTGATTTTAGCCGAAAAAGATGTCATTCCTTGGGACAATGAAGGCTTTGTTCCTTTCACCCTTTTGTCCATAATCGAGACCGGACTACGATTTCCAGTCCAACCTTTGATTTGTGAGTTTCTTAGGCAAACCAGACTATGCCCAACCCAACTATCCACTAATTCCTACCGCATCATAATGGGAATAGCCGAACTAAATCGCCAAGCCGGACTCAACCTCGGTCTAGCCGAAATCTTCCACCAATACTTCATTGGTTCAAAAGAAGATGGGTGGGTCTATTATTTAAGAATACGAGGTCGCCGAGAGAAGATGATAAAACACACACCGGATAAAGACTTAAACGACGACGATTTTTTCTGGGTGTCTGGGAACTTTGAGGATCATCAAGCCCAGATTCCTGGCCAACGTATAAATTGGAAAAAAGGAGAACCCGGTATATTTACTTCGGTTCTCTTGCTTGCTTTATGATATCTCGGTTTTTCAATCTTTCAGCCGAACTAACAGTTGTCTTCTTTCGCAGATTCTGCCCACATTCATTCTTTATACAGCTACCCAAACCTAGCTACTTTGCGCGCCGCACTACAGTATCCAGAACATAGTTGGGCCAAATTGCTAAAGTTCGAGCTGACCTACAGATACAGTGGTTGCCGAAAAGCCAGAGTGACTGATTTTCTTCTTGAAGACGCACCAGAGCCGGACCCAACCTTACCACAAATCAGACTAATTCCACTAACAGTTGAAAAAGAGACGGCTAAAAATAACAGAGTAAGGGCGCTTCTAACCGAAACAAACAGGCCCGAAGTACCGCCACCAAGCCAAACGCAGCCTGCCGTTGTGGCCCTCCCTTCTTAACAGCCTTCTTCATCCCGCCCTTCTAAGCGCGCCCGATCTACCCCGACCGAACAACAACTTGTGGATGCGGACGAATCCATCCTCCAACCAAGTCCTCAACCCATTCTTCAACTGGAGCAATCTGACCGAGCTGACTCCTCAAAATGGGCTCCAGTTCTCTCCTTTCAAAACCGAAATATCGAGGAAAGTGACTCGGTTGTTACTGAGAAGGACCACTTAATGGCTTTCAACCTAGCCAAGAGTGTTTGCCTTCCAAAATATATAGAGCACCACAACAAGCAACTCAACACCGAACTGAAGGCCATCCGGTCATCAACAAAGTCAATGATCCTGGTAAGTGGCTCTCCCTTTTCTGTCTAATTTTTCCCAACTGTCAGTCCGGCTGAAGAGAGTTACTATTCTTTTGTAGGCCATTCAGAAGAACAATATTGCACATAAAAAGGTGCTGGAGCTCCGCAAGACAACAAGGCATGCCATGGCAGACGCCGAGGCAAAGACAGCCGAACTTGAGAATGCCAAGAAGCGGATAGCCGAGCTACAGTTTGAGAACGGTCGCTTGACCGGACTTGTTAGCTCGGCTGAAGCTGAAAAACAAAAAATTGCAATAAAGGTGAAAGATAAATATTTGCGCGAGTTGGCCAAACTCGAAGGCAAAAAAGACGCCGAAATAGCGGATCTGAAGAAGAAGATCAGTGATACCAATGCCCAAGGTTTTAAAGAAGCGGAAGGCCTCTACATTCCGCAATGCGAGGGGGCGAAAGACTTGTTCTTCAAGTGTGGCTGGAGGAGTGCTGTGGAACAGCTCGGCTGTGGGCTTGAAACCAAGGTCTACAATGCTCCACAGTACTGCATTCCAGCCACACTTGCAGAATATGCTGCTTCGGTCCAAAAACAATTTTTGCAGGATTCAGATGATTTAGACGATGAGAACGAACAAACTGTTATTCCAGTAGTCAACGCGCAAGTTAACGATCAATCAGCTCGGTTGGAGACAACGGTAGAAGACCTGACTGTTGAGCCATCGACTGATATCGTTCTGCCAGTTGCTACTGAGACGGATGTTCCATCTGCAACCGGAGTTCTAGTTGACATTGATGCCGAAATTGAAGACCTTTTCTCTTGATTTTGTACTTTTTCTTTTTTTTGCTACTTCTTTACTCTTGTAATCAGGCTACGGCCCCTCCTTTGTATTTTCTTTCTGATGAATGAAAATTTTCATTAACTCTTACTTCGGTTGAGGTGTATGTAACCGGGCTACGATCTTTTATACTTTCAACTGTTATCTCGGTTTTTGCTGGTCAATCTAACTACGCTTACCAGCCAACCACTCCTTAGCCGACATAATTACTTCGGCTGAGGAATACTCAGAGTTGGTTTATTCCAGCCAACCACTCATCAGCCATACCCTTACTTCGGCTGAAGAGTACAAAGAGTTGGTTTAATCCAGCCACCCACTTTTCAGCCATACCGTTACTTTGGCTGAAGAGCACTAAGAGTTGGTTTAATCCAGCCAACCACTCTTCAGCCATACCCATACTTCAGCTGAAGAGTATAAAGAGTTGGTTTAATCCAGCCAACCATTCTTCAGCCATACCCATGCTTCGGCTGAAGAGTACAAAGAGTTGGTTTAATCCAGCCAACCTCTAAGTTAGTTTTTCCAGCAAACTTAGAATAATGTTTGGTTTATTCCGACCAAACGTCCTGCAGCCTAGATCCTTATCCTGGGCTTAGGAGGGGTGTTGGTTTATTCCAGCCAACCTCTAAGTTAGTTTTTCCAGCTAACTTAGAATAAAATGTTCGCAATGTACCTAAAATTTACTAAAGCTAACTTTTACAGAGAACAACTCATGCTGAAAAGAATCGCTTGTTTTATTGAGGAAAGAAAAAATTACACATGTTTGAAAGAGAAAAGCTAAAAGTAAAATAACTTGAGATTGGCCATGTTCCATGGCCTAGGGATTGCTTTGCCGTCATTGTCTTCTAGGTGGTATGCCCCTTTGCCTGCTACCCCAGCCACTTTGTAAGGACCTTCCCAGTTTGGCCCTAACTTGCCATCTCCTGGTATCAAGGTGTTTCCCATCACTTTGCGCAGTACCCAATCTCCGATCTTGAATTGTCTTGGATGCACCGTTTTGTTGTATTTCCTGGATAACTCTTGTTGGTATGAGGCAATGTGAACCAGTGCTCTTTCTCTTCTTTCTTCCGCAAGGTCGAGTTCCAACGCTATGGCTTCTCCATTCAAGTCTGGATCGAAATTTTCGCTTCGAATTGTGGGGAGACCAACTTCCAGTGGGATTACTGCTTCCATTCCGTAAGCTAAGGAGAATGGTGTCTCTCCCGTTGATCGTCGAGGTGTGGTGCGGTAAGCCCATAAAACATGAGGAAGTTCGATCCTGGTAAGTGGCTCTCCCTTTTCTTTGTCTAACTTTTCCCAACTGTCAGTCCGGCTAAAAA